AAATTATTTCGAGTTAGAAATATGAGTAAGAATAATGGGACAATACAATATAAAAAGTATTGATTTATAATATTATTTTAACTTTTTTTGCTTTATTAATTTGGACTTTAAGTTATGTATATTTGTATGTTAACTACCAAATAACTGGAATGTGCCTAATTCAACTGAGTACAATTTATTTTTTCTCAAACTATATGTATATTTGTATTATAATTTATAGCTATATTGAATGTAGCTTGTAGGTAATATTCCTAATTGAAGTGAACACAATTTAGTTCAATTAATTTTTACTCAAACTACTTAGGTATATGTTATATGTATATTTGTACTATAACTGTAATATACCTAATTTAATTGAATACAATTTATTTTGAAATACCTAATATTTTCTCAAACTATATGTAAATTTGTATTATAATTTTTAACTATGACTGTAATATTCCTAAATGAACTGAACACTACTTAGTTGAATTCATTTTTACTCAAACTACCTATATGTTATATGTATATTTTTTACTATAACTATGACCATGTCAGGGTTTTTTTAATGATTTTTTCTGACTGCACAAACTTGTTCCCACTCTTGGGTTATAGTAGGGAATTTGTCTATGAAAACCAAACCCTAGGGACTGTTATCCTTTGAACTATCAGGGATCGCTCCAGAGGGGCCCTAGCCCCCTCCCCCCAAAGCTGAATTTAAAATTCAAAACAAGGGTCCACGTAAATAGGTAAATATATGAATTACGTTATTCACAATAATATCAGCAAATAATAACTATACTAGGTATGTAATATCATAGGCTGACTGAACGTTTTTTTTTTCTATGAATGTCAATAAAACTTTATTTATTGGGTAAAAAAGCTTGAAAAATTAATACAAGGCTACTACTATATTGTTACAATTATAGCAGTTGAAAAATATTAAAAATCCTTAGTCACAATTTTTTTCATAAGTATTTAAAGTTCAAATATTGACGAAATATGGAATAATCACGAAAATTAGCAAATTATTTTGAGTTAAGAATTATTAAAAAATTTTCTTTTTAAATCTAAAATTTGAAAATGTAATACAAGATTACTCATAAGTTTATCTACTTTTATCAAAAAAAAAAAATGTCTACAAGAAAGTCAAATTAAATTTTAATGAGTGTTTGAAATTCAAATTTTTACAACATCTGATATTCACTCGATTTCTCATGTAGCGATTTCCTTATTTTGTTGTAAAACGAATAACTGTAGATACATGAAAATTTTACTGAATGTTTAAATTAGCATTTTCTATACACCATACAATTTTGAAAATATTTTGACTCTTTTTGAGCTGTTTACGGACATTTTCAGTTTCCCATTTTCTTAGTTTTTTTTTCTATAAATATCAGTAAATTTTTATCTGTTGGGCCAAAAAGTGTAAAAATTGAATACAAGGCTCCTGATATATTGTTACAATATAAAGTTTAATTGAAAAATATTAAAAATACATAGGAACAATTTTTTTTTAAGCATTTAAAGGTCGAATTTTTACAAAATGTATAAAAATTTAAAATTGAATAATTATTTTGTAGTTAAAAATTTATAAAATGTTCAACTTTTATATCTAAGGATTGAAAATTTAAAACAAAATCTTATGTAAGTAATTAATTCTGTTAAAAAACAATCTAAAAATACACAAGCACATTTTATTTTTATAGTCATTTTAATTTCAAATTTGGACGATATTACATAATAAAAAACCTAGAATAACTATTTTAGTTATTTTTTTGTGATTGTGTAATATTATTCGTGGGTACTTGGAACTTCTAAAGTACACTATTATATATCTATGATAGTATCAGGGTTTGTTGTTGATGTATAATGCGTTATGAGTACCTAATGGATATTGTGATATGGTTAATTTGGAATTTATTATATTTACCTATTGGGAAGAATTTTAATATTTTCCCCGGGCGTAAAAATTCTTAGTTCCGCCTCTGTCATATATGTGTGCATGTTTGTGTCCCGTTTGTGTTCCATAACACTATATAGGTACATATTACCATATTTTAAAACATATTTATAAATAGTTTTTTTTTTATTTGTATAATAAAACAAAATCATTTGTTCAGGATTGCAATTTACTGAAACAAACTCAACTAACCAGTGTTTACTGTAAACCACTAATTTCTTCGGTATTAATTGTATGCGGAGAGAAAACCTCTGCACGCCACATGTAAATGAGTCGAGTATGAAAATTAAGTCATAACGCAATATTTTCCAGGCATAAACAAATGAGGTTTTTTTCATGACGTAGAATAATAATTGTAATATTATAATAGTAACAAAAAAATAACACTACGTAGAGTATCAGATTTAAGTGTTTTCGAATTCGTAAAAAGTTAAGTAGGTGCGCTTGTTAAGGACTTACTATATTATATACCTATCGCAACTGTGTAGGTACATAGCTAGTGTACCTACCATCTCAAGCAACATTTGAATTTATATTCATTATTATATTCAAATTTTTATATTAACTAAGAAGAGTGTTACAGGAAAACAACGTGTTCTTGTAAAGTACCATCTTGATCGAGCATAATATAAAAACTGAAAAATAAGTTTAAACGAGTTCCCTAAAAACTTTTTTTTTTTAATAAAATATACAGGAGGTTATATTTTTAGCAATTGTTTGACAGCAGAAACCATTGTTGTATTTGAGTCAATTGGATACCTACTTCATAATAATTTTAAATTCATACTTTTTAATTGAAAAGGGGTTCTCCCTCGCCCATCGCGTGCGTCGCTATATTTTCAAGCAAGACATTTAAAAAAAATTTGTTTATATTTCTGTGACCAGTATTTATATAGGTTCTACGACTAAAAAATAAATATTTCAAATTCACATCATAATACAGTGTTTGGTAGGTATGTTCACATGTCTGCATATATACCATCGGTCATCACAACTATAGGTTAGGTAGGTAGTTTTGTTTTTGTGCAATGTATGAGTAATGTTTGATCGGTTACTGCATTGTAAGATTGATATGTATGGGAAATAAAGTTTATTTTGTTATTCATAAGCAGTGTTCTAAGTTTATTAACCACAGTAAGTCACGACAATAGCTTCAATTATTATGAATATTTTTATTTCGAATTTTACTCAAACTGAACTATTTTGGCATGTTTTAACAAGAAATATATTACTTATATAGTACTATTATAAAAGCACGGTTTGGGGTGACTTTTTTTATGAGCAAACCTAAAATAAGGCTAGTTTATTATACAGACACGTGTCATATAAATAAAAATAATAATGTATATTATATGTATGTATATATATATTTCAGACTAATAGTTGGATAAAATATATTTTTTTAACGACATTCTTGATAATCTCGATCTCTTCAAGCAGACCACACACTCTTTCATCTATAAAACTGCATCAAAGTAAGTCTGGCCAATTGCCAGGTGTGTGCGTTTTCCCACGTCCCTTAGTTTCGGGAAAGCCGTGTTTTTGGTACATTTAGCAATTTTTCAAATGGATATTCAATTGAAAAAAGAAACAACATAAATAGATACCTTATACCTATATATTTTCGTCGAGCCAAATAACCGTTTTACTGAAAGACTTGGAAATATTGTCCCCTTCATTTCTCATCGAGCGTTCAAAGTGAATAGTGCGTATTCGCGAGCATACGAAAGTATTACTAGTGCTTTTTTATCCTTACATAATTAATTATGCGTTTATATACAAATCCTGATTTTTGGAAAATCAAAACGGCCAAAAACGTTTCTGAAAAACCATCTGAAATAAGTAAAAACAAATAATTTGAGGGGGTATAAAATTTAGAGACGAGCGTGCTTGACGAATTACCCTGTATAATGTATATACAAACCCAGTGGCGTAGCCAGGATTATGAAATGGGGGGTGTTTAAGTATAGATTAAAACCAAGTTTTTACAGTTTTCGTATATAAATAAATTTAGAGTTCGGGACTTGACTTGTTGCACTCACTAAATATTATCGAACTATGATGCAGTCAAAGTTGTAAAAAAATCTTAACTATATACAGCTACATTTTTTATATATTTTGAAAAATTCATAAAACATACTACAATTTTGGTAGTAAAAAACTAAAATATAAGTAATAGTATATAAACAAAAAAAATTTATACATGGGCTTACTAATTTTAATACAGGTACCAGCTAGGTACCAGCTAGGTACCTATATTGATTAATGTGATAGACGGAGTACACTATATTGCATGTTTTGGACATTTTTAAACTATTGTGAAATAAAACAACTTGATTTTTAAAAATACTGGCATAAAATACAAGGTTAATAAATATGTAATGACTAATAACGAATAACGTGATATGCGAATACCGTGATAAACGAACACGTATCTACTGATTTTCATTTCTTCGTACAATCTAGAATCTAGATGTTAATTATAGTTTTAACACAGTCTTTTCACAAAGAGACTAATAAAATCTTACATATCATAAGTATGCGAAAATATAGCAAACCGTATAGCCACGCTCCACCAACAACTTAAACAGCCCTCCCAATCATTTACTAAATTTTTTTAATTCAATTTTATAATATAGTATGGTTTTAGGCTAGGGCCCAAATCTCAAAATTAGAGCCTATTGTACCTAACCAAACATAATATTTTTAAAGATATTTTCAATGTTATCCAAATATGATTTTTCCCGACAATTGTATAATATGTACCTACATTTAAGTTAGAAAAATTCAAAATATGCATAAATATGCGAAAAATCGTTCAATTGTACACTTTTCCTAAAATATGCAAATTCAAACTTTGTTTGATCAAACATTTAAAAAATTTCATAAGACAAATTTATAACTTATCTAAAATAATGCGAGCAGTCCCAAACCCTATAAATTATATTTTTATTAGGGAGGAAAATGTCAAAGGGGGGTGTTTAAACACCTAAACCCCCCCTGGCTACGCCACTGTACAAACCTATTGTGCACCGTATAAAATTATAATGTAATCACGATGGTTGTATTATACTCTAATGTTCTATTATATTTTCCCGCAGATGTTGCCGACAAACAAGTGAGATTAGATATGTTCGAGTTCGTGTCGGGCACTATAGAACAGACGGCAGCTCTAGTAACGGGTGCGCTGTATGAGTTAGCCAAAACATTCAAAATCACCTCAGAGAGCACTTGGACAGCGTGCTGGACGAGCATCAGGAACAAGTCACAATCGACAAATTGGATCGGTTACCGTGCTTGGAAAACGTGTTAAAAGGTAAGCGAGATAATAATCTTGTGGTATATATAGCTGTAGATGGCAGTTGGCACCTATATAATTATAATATACAGACACTGTAAATATTTGATTGAGCCAGGCCGACGTGATTGGGCCCACAGCAGTTATTAAAATATAATATTATTATTGTTACCCAAACGAATATATAGCTAGTTAAACGGATTACAATTTTTTTACTTTTAAGGGACATGATAAATTACAGAACAGTATCTACTTATATTTCCATTATATAAATAAAAATGTGTTATTGCTGTAATAATATGCTAACTGCGAATAACATAGATTGTAAGAATTATAAAGCTCTTACAAGTTTTTAAAATACAATACAACTTTAAACGTAATCAAGTTTTGGTTTTTCCGAACAGTTCGATTTAATGCGTCAAAACAGTATCAAACTCAAAACTGGAAGATTAAAAAAATGAAAACACCAAATAAATTCAAACTGTCCGATTTCGTGAGTAATTTAATTTGGGTTAGGTTAGGTTAAGTTAGGTTAGATGATAAAACTATTATTAGCGAAGCGAGTGGATAAAAAAGTTAAGAATAATATATTATTAGATTCGATCGAGTTAGGACGTTAAAAATGTATCATGGAAAAAGAATAAAAGCTTTGACGCGTAAAATAGTTTAGATATTTTTATCTAATATTTTTATAACGAAGCTCTCGTCCGATCTTGTTTAGTGAACGGGAAATCCGAGATAAAGAATATTCGGACCACTCTAATATGATATAACGTGAAAATATCGATATTATTATCACGCCTACTAGCCTACTAGTAGGTACCTATCTAACCTAATGTTCGCCCGCTTAATCATGCCCAACAGATATTATTATTAATTCATAATTATTGTAAGGTCAAACGGCAGTGATAATAATAATATGAGCGATCAAATATTAAACTATTCGGACGTATCGACGTAATCCTTATCGTGTTCCGGTGTATAGTCATATAATTATTATTCTGTGTCAACTGCATCGCTCGGTAAGAGACACGTCAAAATTGTCAAATAATATCATAAGCCGCAGTCCCCCAGAGGTCCACGATGCTGGAAGTGCACTCACTCACACAATTTTATGCATAATAACGTATACCGTCGTGATGGTCGTATAATATTATTTTATACAGCGTGTAAATACACACGAAAATATATACTATATAGTATATATACCTACTACCTACAACACGGTATTCGGTATCTGAGTACAAATGAATATAAATATGTCACTTGTATAATATTATCGCGCCTGATATGCAATAAAAAATGAAAGTTTTCAGTAAAGAAATGTGCAAATTGTGCGTTATTACTTATTACCTATCTATGTATTATGATTATTATTGTTATTATTTAGTGATGGGTCGAACTGTTCGAATCTCGAACCGAACCGAACCGAACCCTTGATGTTCGGTTCGGTTCGAAATTCGAACTCGGCATGAAAAATATTCGAACCGAACTATCAAGCATCTCTTACTGTTCGAAAATCGAACTTGAAAATATTTGTCTCTAAAAAGACTTATTGGCCACGATAGTTCAAACTTAAAAATAAATAAAAATTGATAATGGTTATTAAGAAATAATTAGACTATTGGCGATAGAAAGTTATAGCTGTAATGGCACGTCATGTATTATTTATAATAATAATGTTATTGTTCCTCGCCCGTTACACCCCCCTCCGATAACCAATGGCTAAGTTGTTTATCACCCATAGAGGCCGGGGGTACCTACATTCATAACACGGATATCGATACTATGGTTGCACGACGGCCTATATTGGATCACAGCGCCGAGCGGCACCGAATGTTCTTATCAAGTCTGACAAAAAGTCGCGTTTCACGGGCACCCTCTACAACCACTACTAAGTTACGGTAACCAACCCTGGTTACCTAGCCACTGTGGAGCGCTAGTATGTCGCGACTTTTTTTGTATGGATACTATATATGTATATAACTATATAAGTAACTTGATAAGAACATTTGGCTCCGTTATATTATTGCTCGTTGTGCAACCATAGTATCTATATCCGTGATTCATAATAATAATATGTAATGCTATTTTTATTTTTATCATATTTATTGTAGAAGTTAAAATCTATTTTGGGTAAACCCATGATAATACTCCGATACCTCGACTGTGCTATAGCCTGTTAATAAAAACATGTTTACAACTTCATTCTAAATTCTAATCATTCTATACTTGTGAATTATAGTTATTTTTTTTTTTTTTTTTATTATTATAAAGTACTGATTGCATCGTCATATTGTACTCAGTAGTCACTAGTCAGTACTCATTTATTATTTTATAAGCTACGAGACAACAAAATACTGGTTCAGTGGTTTTGATTTTCGGCATTCAACGTTAAAACTTAAAACTTTAAAAGTTTAAATGTAGAATAGGTAGGTAATACAAACATTTTAAATACAATAGTAATTTATTACTAAATATTAATTAATAATTGTGGTTGATTTAATTTGTAGGCTGGTACAATGTACATGATAAAAAGTATTGAGTTCGAGTTCGACTTAAAATGATTCTAGGTTCGGTTCGGTTCGGTAGAAAATATTACGGTTCGGTTCGGTTCGGGTTCGAAAAAATAATTTAAAGTTCGGTTCGATTTAAAAAATCAGCGTTCGACCCATCACTATAATATTATTATTATCAAGTGAAAAAAAAAAAGAGTTGTTAAAAATATAAAATATATACTTATACCCTGCAGTGGCAACAAACACGTAGTACAGCTCGTTCATATTTTAAACTACCTTGAAAATTGGGTTGGAGTAAAATTATAGAGTATACAGCCAAGTCTTTCTGCTATAGTTATATTAAACACAGGAATGTCATTAAATTATTTAAATATAAATAGGTAAATAAATTATAAAAATATTGGAAGGATCAATTTATTTAACTATTTTAACTGCCACTTTTAATTTCATCCGGCGCCACTGCCTATACCTATTAGGTAGTAGTAAAACTCTCATTATTTCTAAAACTATCTACTTTTAAAAAATACATTTTTACATTATTTTAAGTGATTAAAAAACGAAATTTTCATCAAAAAATAACTATTATATTTTTACTATTTTTTATAATATTTTATAAAAGTGAAAAACTTAATGACGATTAAAAAAGTAGGCAGCAGAATACATGTTTTATGTTTTCAAATTATGTCCCTTGTAACGACTTCGAATTATATATAAAAAAAAAAATTTTTAATTTTGGTAAGTACGCATTTGTTTATACGTATAATATAAATGGATTATCCTTTGTATTATAATTTCTACTTTATTACTTTCATGTTTTAAATTGTCATTCTTTAAATAAAATATTCTTATTTTGGTTTAAGATTTTTCTTTTTTGTCGGGTTCAGTACGATACTAAATTATTGCGTAAATCGAATCTGTTGTGTTGTGTTTTGTTCTGTTTTCTTTTTGAATACTTTCACATATTTATCGTTATTCACGTCTTTCATAAAACAATTCTAAAGCACAACAACTTTGAATACCTATAATAACATAATATTGGCCGGTGTTTTGTGATACTATAAGTGTTACACATAATATTATACCTATTATGTTTAAAATATTATATAGTATGGAGAGTGGAGACTGGAGACCATTTACAATGAATAACAATACCAACACGCAATAGGCTTACCTACATATTATTATTATACTGCAGCTCACTCGATGGTTTTTAAATGCATTTATATTATGTAAGTACCATATAATATAGTGAATGATAAAATATCGTTGGTACGCCTATCGTCATATATTGGTAAAAGCATCATTATGATAATTTATTAATTGCATGAAGAAAATAATAATCTCATACAGGGACGGACTGGGGCAACTATTCGGCCCGGGAAATTTATATTTTGACCGGCCCTTAAAATGTCGTCATCACTAAATATAAGACTTAAATATGGTACCAAAGTTTTGACAAATAATGGTTGCATCCTCCACCTACTCATTTTTAATTTCCTCAGGAGACAACTTAAGATACTCAATGTACCTATTTAGTATTTTATCTTAATTAAATGTACTGCACAGTATTATGTATATATCACTTTTTATATTACCTACTCTATAAGTGATCCATAACGGATGAAAAAAATAGGTTCGTTTAAACTACTTTAACTTGATTTTTCTAAGAGTATCCTTCTCTCTCTCTCTGATTTTCTCAACCCCACTCTTTATTTTAGTTTCCATTTTAAACAACAAATAGATAAGTAAATATTACAAAATCATCAAACGATACACTAGTACACTACAATAAAATAAAAAAGAAGTTCAAGAATTCACTTTTTTGAATTAAGGACGTTACATTGAACGTACGAAACTGTACCTTTAGTTATCAGCTTATTAATTCCCATCAAATTATCACAAATTATCTTTTATATTTTACTATTATGTAGGTACAATATATTTATATTATATTTTTTATTGTGTACAATTTAATGTTAGTTATATTAAGTAAATACTGGCTGGCTAGAAGTGGATATATTAATCGACTGTAGAATAAAGTCATATTAAGTTATAAATAGGGCATGGATATAAATGCAATAAAAAAAACAATGCCTTAAAAATACGATTTTATGCACAGTAACAATATTACAAAGCTTAGTAAAATGCCCAGAAAAATGAAAAGCCAATTTAAATGAAAATAAAATAGAACTTAAATAGGTATAGTCATTAGTCGTTAGTCGTCATATATTGTGTTTCATTATAATCACTTTTCAATCAGAAGCTAATCAATATTTTTGAATAAAAAACTTTGACAGTTAGAATTGGCAAGTGTTGTTTTGTATAACTGAAGTCATAGGAGCAAACAAAATAAAATAAAACGTAATAAAATAGAAATATTAGTAAGAAAAAATGATTTTTAATTATATTAAATTTCTTGAAGGAACTTAAGCTAATAGTGTTTATAAAATTGTATATATACTCATAAAATTTACGAAAAATTCCTTCAAACGATAA